TCGGCATTAAGGGGCTAAAACAAGGACTGGTCGGCTCGGAGTCAGTATACTGTGTCTGAGTGGGGTATTCATGTTAAACTGCGGCATGGTATCTCAGTGGGCTAGCACTATAAATCGGCATCAGCCCGGACTAGTACAAGCAGCCACATACACACATACGTGCATGCACGTCGCTATATAAGTGCAATAATCTTGGACGCGACGTTAAACCCAATTTCACCTCAACTCACCGTGTAGTTAGTTACGCGTGTGCTGACAGAGCAGGTATACTCCGCTCGGTGTGTATTGTCTGGTATTATTTAAATGTTTCTAAAATGTTCCTAAACAATGACTCCGATGCAGTCCAGACAGCACGGCAGTGTCAATAGCATGCAAAACGTTTTGGGAATTAATGTGTGATCTTGATTGTGAAAGGAGTTTTACTTTCAGAGATGTATTTCAAATGCAACTGCAACTTTCGGTTTTGACTTGTAAACAAAGGGAGACAACTGCACTGGGCATACCACCCGTGACTACAACATATCACATATTATACGGGCGCTTCAAAACTTGTCCAGAAGAAAGCGTGGTCAATTGTTGACATGCAATTCTCAATTCTACAATGACAGTGAGGAATCCTTGACCGTGAGGAGTCAATAAAGAGTTCCATCTGAAATTTGTCATGGAGATAAACATACTGTGTTTTAATGTTGAAAATTGACAGTCATATTATCTCCATTGGGCTGTCCCAAAGTCCAACAAATGATACACATGCACGAGCTACGTGTAAATGCTGGTGCCGTGCTGAACATAGTGTGGGTGTTAAGGTACAAGTGAATGAGTGAGTATGGTTTTACGCCGCTTTTAGCAATATTCCAGCAACATCACGGCGAGGGACACCAGAAATGGGCTTCACACATTGTACCCATGTCGGGAATCGAACCCGGGTCTTCGGCGTGACGAGCTAACGCTTTAACCACTAGGCTACCCGACCGCCCCGTTAAGGTACAACGAAAGGAGACCAATGTTTCGATAGTAATCACCCCGAGAATGAATTGTCTACAGGCCCTTTGATGACACGTGATCTAAGCTAGAGTATTTGTGTTTATTATTGTGTGGATATTGATAACAGGGTCTTTCGCTGACAGAAGCGTATTAGGTTTCAAAATATTTGGAAACATATAACTTTTGGTTGTATGTAACTTTATCTGAAAGCGATATAAGCTGGACAAATTAACAAAAAGAAGTAAGGATAAGATATTTGGTTGAACAACTTCTTTATTACAATTAGGAGCGACGTTTCGGTGTAGGTTCTAACATCGTTATCAAGCAAGTGATGTACAGTGAGTGAGTAAGTATGGTTTTACGCCGCTTTAAGCAATATTCCAGCAATATCACGGCGGGGGACACCAGAAATGGGCTTCACACATTGTACCCATGTCGCGATTCGAACCTGGGTCTCCGACGTGACGAGCAAACGCTTTAACCACTAGGCTACCAGACCGCCCCTCATGTACAGAGTATGGTTGACAAGTAAATGTATATATACAGGATAGGACGCAGTGAAACGTCGCCCCTAATTGTAATAAAGAAGTTGTTCATCCATATAACTTATCCGTGCTTAGTACACCAACTTCTAGATAACAAAAAGAATACTGTTCATTTTCGATTTGGTTCACGTCAGACACTTTACATTTCCAAATTTCGCAAGGTATTATATTAAAATGGCGACAGCATAAAGCGAGTAACCGAGGTCCTTACAATACTATTCAAATATTTCTTACATTAAAGAATGTTTTAAACTGTACAAAATAAACCATGCCAGGACTGGTAATACATGGCTATATTCATATGTATGAATATATAACTATAACTATATAACTATATATCCATGTATCTGTCAGTGTGTTCAAGAGTAAACAGTGAATAACGCCGACACACGTGACTATGTATCGGAGAGAGTGAGCATGGTTTTACGCCGCATTTAGCAAAATATCACAGCAAGATCAGTGCGGGGGAGTACAGAAATGGACTCGGGGTGGGGGTGGGGGTGTAACCAGATCTCCTCCGTGGTCTAGTGGATAGAGCGCTTGCCTGGATTGCGGAACCTCGTTGTTCGATCCCTGTCTAGGTTATACCAAAAGACGTTAAAATATGGTACTTGTTATTACCCTGCCTAGCGCTCGGCACTAAGGGGCTTAAACAAGGAGTGGTCGGTTCGGAGTCAGTATACTGTGTCTTAGTGGGGTATTCATGTTAAACTGCGGCATTGTTTCTTAGTGGGCTAGCAAGTACAATACCTGCATCGGTCCGGACTAGAATAAACAATGATCTTGATCGCGATTTAAACTTCACAACTTCTTTATTGTACTGTACTAGCGATGTTTCGATTTAGATTCTAATACCGTTGTATTTGCTTGACATAATAAAGAAGCTGTTATCCATATAAAAAATGTCTGTTATGTCAACCGTCAACTTCTGAGAAATGCCAATCAAACAATTCAAAGAGTGAACATTTTAGCTGTTTGTATTTGTATTAGTCGTTTGGCCGCTGGATGTACTTCTCGTGGATGTAGTTTTCATTTTTAAATAATAAGGAACTGGAATGTAAATACACAGTGGAGCTCGTCAGCTAACCCCTGGTTAACTGCCCCATCAGTCAGACATTAAATAAAATATATTGAATATAGGTGGGAAGTTTTTGAATATTTTTAGATCTATGTACGACAACATCACGGCTTGTGTAAAATAGTGTCATACTTTGCTACAACAATGGATTAATGCAAGGGGACATTTTATCGCCTCTGTTATTAATGTTTTAATATGAGGGCCTTGAATCGTATTTACAAAATGATAAGTTAAAGGAATATTTATACATTAACGTTGTTATTATTTGAAGATGATATGGTTATATTTAACGATTCTGCAAATAGATTACAAATCTGTTTCGGCGGATCTAGACTTGTTATTCTCTTGCATTGGCAATTTATATTTACAGGCCAGTAGAGTTTTGTGATAAATGGGGTCTTAGGGTAAATATCAAAAGTGGTTGTATTTAAAAAGTCAGTACATGTATTGTACGGTAAAAGATAATTTTATCTATAAATATGAAGCTACTGATTATCGGCCAATGTCAATTATTAGAATAATAAATACACTTATTTATTAATCTGAGAAAAGCCTTGAAGCATGTAATGCACTTTTAAAGTCGGTACGAAGGCATATATTAGATATAAAAAACATCTTCAGAATTATTCGATATATGTGTATCACCTGTAATAAATTACGGTCGTAAAGTCAGACATATTTAGTATCTATAACCTATGACATGTAAATTCATTTTAATGTATTAATGACATGTAATATATACATTTTATTTGACCGCCTCCGTGGTCTAGTGGTTGAGCTTCCGCCCGGAAAGGGGAAGGTCCGAGGTTCGATCCCCGGTCGCGTCATACCAACAGACTTGGACGCGACGTTAAACCAATTTCACCTCAAGTCATATTATATGTACAGTCTTTTAAATGTATTAATGACATATTATATGTACAGTCTTTTTAATATATTAACGACATATTAAATGTACATTCTTTACAATGTATTAATGACATCTTATTTGTACATTTTGTTAAATTATTTAGCTACATATTATATCTACATTTTGTTTAATGTATTTGTGAGATAATATATGTACATTTTCTTAATATTGCTCATATCAACGTGTGCCAAAGAATGTACATTATAGAATGAGGATTAGAATGTGAAGGAATGAATACTCTTTCTGATTATCTGTCATCAAATGTTGGACCAAACCGTGTTAATGTAGGTAACAGTTAGTGGGTTATCTGTGCCATCAGCCATGTAGTTTGTTGTTTCAAGCTGTCTGTGTGATGGTAAGTGAGTTTGGTTTAACGCCGCTTTAACATTATTCCAGTTATATCACGGCGTGGGAGGAAAACCCGAAATGATGCAGGTCTCAGACGTTTACCACTTCAATGAGGTGAAGCCCGCGGGCACGGATATGGTGATGACAAACCTGGAAACATAATCGGGGCGAACCGGGATTCGAACCCACAATCATAGGTTTCTGGCGTGCCTAAGGGACGCAACTCTGCACAGCGAATCGCGGCGCCTTAGACGACTGGGCCACCCGTGCCCCCTCTTACTGATGGGAGGGAACCAGCTCCATGATCAAATAAAGACAATGATGGCACCATCATCGTTAATACAGTAAAGATTTGCATCACTAATTTGATTCCCCGAGTAATTCACAATGCATCCGTTCGACGTGAACGAAAATAATGATCACAATATGTTTGTTAAGTCAGTAAATTACTACATTAAAGATTTGCATCACCAATTTTATTCCCGAGTAAATTAATACAAATGTGTACATTTCGAGCAACGCGAAATAATTCGCTATTCAATTCGAACGTACGTCACATCACGTGATCCGTGACGCTGTGCAGTCGACCGTGGTATGTTATTCGATAAGGTGAGCTGTGGATTCGCCCTGATGCGTGACGTACCACACGCGAACGGCGAGTATTTTGACAGGTGCCTGCTCTCTCTTCCGTGACAGAATTCCTGCGGAAGCACACAAATTTGCCCGTGGCTGCAAATCAACTTACTCCTCTGATATCGTTCGTTTAAATCAATTAGACTTTAGCATGAGGTGTCTGTTCGTTCACAGGCACTGCACGAATAAGACGCTGAGTTAAAATAGTTTAAAATATTGAATTTAGAAATGAACATATTTAAGTCAAATTCATTTCGAGTTTTAGATTTATATAATGCAATTGATTCTGTACATGAACATGTTTATCAATTCTTATAATAGAACTATAATAATATTGCGAAAAATAATATATAATAAGTCACATTAAAGTGTTTACGGTTCAATAAAGTTGAAACCTTGGCAGGATTTTAAAGAAATATCTTCGATTTAAACTGACACCGGATTGTATAACATTATTTCGATACCATGAATGAGTCGAGTGAAATCAAGAGTTGTTTCCCTTTCACCGAGATATGCCGGAAACGCAAGAAATGCTCAGTGCCGTGCGCCGTCAAGTCGGGAATCAAAATGGCGACGTAAAGATGGGACGAGGTTACTGGATAGCAATATTTGGGAAATAGTGCGATGTCTCGGTTGGCTGACTACTTCGCCATTATTGGATATGATCACGAGAAAGACCGTAAGTACATTTCACTCTCTCTGTGTCCGTTGTGCGTCCCCAGGACCAAAATCGGGGTCAATCGGAAGTGCTACACGGAGGCAGTGAATCTTGCGATGTTGTCTGCTTCCGAGCGCTGACTCACAGGTACCTGCAAAGGTGTCAGATTTGACGCACGTGACGCATTTCTTTGCGACATGGAGTATTTTGATTCCGATTGAACAATTTCAGCAAATATTTTGGAGGCACGGGATGCATTTGCGTTAAATATGTCATTAATCGTTGACAGGTGATACGCAGACGAGCCTGTTACTTCGTGATATGTACCTAATGTCAGTTTAAGAACTGTTACCATTGACAACATGCCTTTAGAACACATTTCACTGTCTCCGATGTACGAGATGCTGTCATGCTTAAGTGTATGTTTCCCTCTGCTCTGCTGTGTTACAACCGCCACACCAAAGATGAAGTATTCACAGGGTCTGTCACAGTAGTCCTCAAGGGGATTCCAGAGCAGCTTCAGCCATCAGCCACCTATGCTGTCAGAAGGAGTACTCAGGGGGTCAAATGGTTATGGCTGCGTGTCATGATACCCGGTCATAACACAAACCATTTCTTATGCCATCAACTACTGGTCTATTTCAGGCCTTGAAGTTGAGGTTGTTGGTTACGTATGGTTACAGTATTAACATAACATTCATTCATTCACCCTGTACTTAGGAAAGCATTTCCATTTATGACCACGATAACATGACATGATTATGAGTTTTTCTTAATGTTTCTTAATTATTATTCTTTTATATCCTTTAGATAATTTTCTAAGTTTGTTTCAGATTCTCACTGTCATGTTACCACAATATAATTTATATGATTATGACATTGACAAAAATACCACAGATCAATGTGTGACTTTGTAAAGGTCAGAGTCTAAACTACCAAATGCAGTTATTTTTATATACTGCAAACCTGCTATGGGTCGCCTTGCAACCTGAAAAGTATTCATTTCCTGGTTTGTGTCCAGGGTTTGGAGTTATCAGAAATGCATTAAAACGGGTCTTACTTCCTTTATAGCTAGGTCATTTCCTTATTTTGTGATCACATTTCTACCCATTGGTGTAATTAAGGGATTATCCATGCTATTGCTGTTCATAAATACCCCAATTGATTTACTTGGAACTAAAAATTGGAAACGTGGAGATTTTTAAGACCGAGTGCAAGTGTGGAGGTTTAAACATGGGAAAGTCAAGAAAACTGACATCGATATCATCATCAGTGATAACATAGGAGATACGAAAGATTCTGAAACTTTTCATGTTAATCAGTAGAGAAATTCTATGAATTTAATTAAATATGGCAAGGAACCATTATTACAGTAATTTACCATAATATGTCTATTCTGACATTCTGTAGACAATCATAAAGGTATTGATTAATTCAATACGAGGAAAAAACATACAACCTGAGTTGGTTCTTTCTATCTTGTGTCAGGTATTGAATGAAAATTAGATAATGTCACTTTTATCTATAATGCTTGAGCAAGTATCTGACGAATGTCAATATTGTTGAATTGAGCATGTCCAAATGCTATTCATTTCCACTTGTTTTCACACATATGATATATGGCATTAATTCCTTTCTGCGATGCTGCATGTGGTGTCTGGGTAATTTGATGACTTGACATTTAGATATGTTTAGCATGAGCCAAAAGCAGGTGGAGAACTTGTGGCTATGAGAGCTTCATTTCAGACCTAAAGGATCACAATACATGTACGCCAACTGGAGAAAAAAACAAGCAGGTATAGAAGGGAAGGACTGTTGCACTGCAGCTTTATTCATGATGAAGGCAGCCAGAAATTCCTTAGAATGCAAGCAGGGATGCAACTTAAAGCCAAACTTTTCTGTACCAAGCAATCATAGCCATGGTCGCTATGCCTTAATGCTTGAATTGGTGCATCATTGTTTTATTAAGAGTGAGTGAGTTGGGTTTAACACCGCTTTTAACAGTATTCCAGTTATATCACGGCGTGTCAGCTAATGTCATGAATATGGGAGGAAAGCCCGAAGTGATGCAGGTCTCAGACGTTTACCACAACAGTGAAACCCACGAGCACGGGTAGAAACATAATCAGGGCGATTCTGGATTCGAACCCACAATCATAGGTTTCTGACAAGCCCAGGGGACGCAGCTCAGCACAGCTAATCACGACGCCTTAGACTGGGCCACCCGTGCCCCTGTTTTATTAAGAAGTATTTACAGATCTTGTACCAAAATGGAATCCTTAATATGAGTAAATAGTTATCGGGTTGTATATCATCAGAGTTCATGCATACTGACAAGTTACAGTTTGCTATCAGTCATGATAGAAAGTCATTTCTTTAACAGATTCCATAATAGTAGTAATTTCAATTTGTAAAAATTAACAAATTACCAGTAATATGACATAAATTAAATCAATACAGAACTGTATTCATGTTCTGCTGGTTTGAAAGACAACCTATAAATATAGGAATTTCCCAAGCTTACAATCTCACCAGCCCTAAGGCATGTACCGGGTAGGGATATTAGACCTGCCTGCTCTTCGTTAGTAGGCAGAATTCTGTATGTGGATATGTGTTGAAGTACTCAAGTACTGTTTCTGTAGTGTTTACCCCAGGGCAATGAGGTAACAGTGTGATAGCAACACATGTACACAGAACAGATAAATCTTAATATCTATCAAATTTGACAGTAATCCTGCTAGTCCCACTAACCCGACCACGATGCTCTGGGGGCCATCCTCAGCTGACGCTCCCCAGAGACGTCCAAGTGTGGGACAGTAGGCTGATAGGCAAGTAATGATTGTCAATTACCGCTACTACTTGTGATGAAATTACCATGGATTGGAAGGTTATTCAGTATACAACAGGGACTTGTTTACATAGTGCTGGTGGAATCCGATCTCGCATCACGGCTTAGCAGTGCTTCATTGTGGTCAGCATCAATTGTCTTTCATCATGTTCATTGGAGTTTGTGCAGGTCTCTGTGCTTTTAATAATATTTTTGTTCCATTATTCATAGAGAGGATCAATGAGCTATCGGAACATCTCTCTTCAAATATATATACAAGTGTTCAATTAGTATATTTAAAGAGAGATGTTCCGATATATATATAACAAGGGTATTCAATTAGTATGCCCCACTTGCCGACTCGTGGAAATAAAGTGCCAGGCAAGTGAGAAAGTATAATTTAGTTGCCCTCGGGCAAGTTGGAAAATTGGCAATATTAACTCTGCATTAGTAGATGCATTGTGTGTTAAAATAACTGTGTTTGTCAACTGCAGATAAAGTACTGGACTATTCATTTGACTATTCTGCACATCTTCGAGGCTAATGCTTCAGTTGATAAAGTTTTATTGGTTAAGAATAATTTTTTGTATTGTTCTCTGATTTAGCAGTGCAAGTTGATAATCACTCTGGGCAAGTAATATATACTTACTGTTGTATTATTCATGAGATTACATAATAATTTAATCCTGTTTATGTAGATTAGCAGATTCCTACATGTGGGGGTGTTGGGTTAATCAGGATTTGTAGTGAAATGTGTGATATGAAGTGCAACCCTTAAACATGTCAAATGCTTAATCTGTTGGAAAGATCTTTTATTGCACCATAAAATAATTTATAATGAATAATAATTTAGGCTTAATACTGGCATCTAAATAATTGGTAATTTACTCATCAATATTACTGTGGAAGCATTGTCAGTAATTTGTAGTAATTTTAGAAATGATCAATTGTTGGTGGATGGAAGTGGCCTCCAACTGATGAAGTAGGTAACTGCATCAAATAGAACTGCTATATGTCATGTTTAATCAATTGCTGTGGTGGTGGTTTCAAGTGAAAATCAAACATCCTCCTCTTGAAATAACTCAATTTCACACCAGCCACTCAGTGTACCCAGATTACTGAAGAATGTGTTGATACCGGCCATGGCCTACCACTCCATACCCTATTGTAGTGAGTGCCTAATAGTACTGTGAGATTGACTTAGGCAGTACACCTGCAGCACTCAACTAGCACTGTGTGTTGTGTTACAGTCCAGTACTGTATCTGGCTGGGTGTTGACAGCGTACAGGTCACATGCCTATAAACAGGTGTTAGTTAGCCTTGTGGCTGTATGCATGGCAGCCCTCTAAGTAGAAAACATTTTGGTGACCAAATGCAACAACTTTAATCTGTGATTGGCGGCCTAAATCTATCTCCTACTCACCACTTGGCTACCTAAAAGTCAACGTAACTGGTGACAATATCTGTTTCAGATGTCTGTTGGCTTCTAGAGACTTAGGTTTGATTCTTAAAATGTATATGTTAGGAGCTGCTTGGCTCCCTAATAAACAAACAAAGAACTTAGTGGGCTGCATGGTCCTGAATTTATATCCTTTCCTTGTTTGGAACATTTATGATTATGTCTGTCTCTTTTTATTTGGTGTCACAGCCAAGGAAATACACTCTAGTTTGTCATGGCCAAGGAAATACACTCTAGTTTGTCACGCCCAAGGAAATACACTCTAGTTTGTCACGGCCAAGGAAATACACTCTTGTTTGTCACAGCCAAGGAAATACACTCTAGTTTGTCACGGCCAAGGAAATACACTCTAGTTTGTCACGGACAAGGAAATATGCTCTAGTTTGTCACGGCCAAGGAAATACGCTCTAGTTTGTCACGGCCAGGGAAATACACTCTAGTTTGTCATGGCCAAGGAAATACGCTCTAGTTTGTCACGGACAAGGAAATATGCTCTAGTTTGTCACAGCCAAGGAAATACGCTCTAGTTTGTCATGGCCAAGGAAATACGCTCTAGTTTGTCACGGCCAAGGAAATACGCTCTAGTATGTCACGGCCAAGGAAATACACTCTAGTTTGTCACGGCCAAGGAAATATGCTCTAGTTTGTCACAGCCAAGGAAATACGCTCTAGTTTGTCATGGCCAAGGAAATACACTCTAGTTTGTCACGGCCAAGGAAATACGCTCTAGTTTGT